CATTAAACTAATTTGAACTTTATTTCATCTCAAAAACTATTTGTAGGCTAAGCAAAACAGCGTCGAAAAAAAATTATTTGATCAAGAATCGGAAGGTAAGCTAACGAAATAAGTTTATATTTATTACTGGATATGAAAAGCTATCTTTCGTTTCTCTATTTTCGCTTGCTCCTATAAATTTCTCGTTATCATTTCACTTCGAAATATTTTATGTAGTTTAATTTTTGGATTTGGAAGCCTATCAAACTAATCGGACAGGCTGTTGAATTTGGTCTCTAAATTTGGTAGAATGTAAACAAACTACTGTTTCAAATCTTTTTATCAATAAAGAAATATCATTTTAATGGTTCATTTGAAAATGAACTAAAAGAGAAATTACTTGCACGTTATACAGTAGTATTCTTTCCGATTCAAAGTAATATTTTTGTTCTTTGATAACAGAAACCAGGTTAGTGCCGATCTTTAAGCGAAGGATATTCACGCGCAAAGTTATTTATAGATTATTTCAGTTGAACGTAAGAACTTTTCGGAAATGCAAACATCCTGATGCATGCGCACTCCGAGATTGTCTAGGCGTCTCCCGGTCGTTCGTCTCGGATACGTCACCGAAATGCATTGACCGAGAGGGCCTGAAAAGACGGCGTAAATGGACTAGGCAAAGGAAACCCTATATCTGCTTGTCGTTTGATTTCTTGATAAAACATTCTGCCAATGGAACATGTTTAACTTTGGTGAGTATGCAGAAATATGTCCCCTCCCTCTGGCTTCTTTGAAAGAGCCACATTTAATTTCCCTGACTTATACTGAAACTCTCTGACTTGACTTACGGGGAATGATTAATTTTCCTCACATGTCACACACTGATATTGTGAAGAGATCCGAAATGGAGAGGTTCTTTAATTTCAAATATTAAATAGGATCGAAAATAGGTGGCCAGCAATAATAAATTTTTGTTATGCTTGACTTAAAAGACACAGTTGTGTTTATGTATAAGGCTGCTAGACAATGATAATATATTTTACTTGGGATGGTTTTGGGGAAGTAAATGTAATGAAAATTGTAGACGAAAATGTTGTTCAGCAAGGATTTTGTTTAGAAATGTAACGCTTCCCTAAGCATGTCACACATTATCGTTATTCTAAAATGCTCCATGACGTCATTGGTGGACACCAAGAATATACATTCATGAAAAGATTGATTTATGGCGCATCGAATTTTGCAGCTGGCTAAATCCACGCCCGGTTAGCAGACTGCGCGCGACGAGATTATAAAGTAGCTACGCTCTCGGCGTTTCGCGCCGAGCTTCGCTCGCTATGATCCTTGTAAGGACGATGACAGATAAGGCCGCAGTTTAGTGATCTCTTATGCAAATTAGCACGTTGCTAAGGCTAAAACATTGTTTACGACGCCATATTGAGAGCACGTCACGCAACGAGTTCAAATGAAGATTTTCGTATTTTCTCGCCACTTTCCGTCCTACAATCGGATCAGTGTCACAAGAAAAATTAAGAACAGCGGTTTAATCGTAAGAATTCAAGATGGCTACGAAGAGAACAGCGCAGCGCGACGAAAATTAAGAGCGACTTAAGGGCAATTTTGCGGGTGTGTTGGACCGCACTGGAAACAAATCGATGTACAAAGATGAGGATTTATAATACCGCGCTGAAACTTGCCAGGTTTATTCACATGATGTAAAGGACAAATGTATTAAATTCCCGGCAATTCCCGGAATGTTTTAGAATAATGCAGCGGCCTGAAGTTACAGGGCATTACAAAAAAATTCCACCTCTATATCTCAGGAAAAATTTACTGGCTATTGCCGGGAATTGAAAGGTAAATGAACAAACTAAATTTAAGTCAGTTCCGATTTTCTTGTGATTCCAAGCTGTCAAAAGCAAGCCAGAAATACGGAATTGTTGAATTTTTGAGCCTGCGATATAAATCGGAAATAACACCTTAGGTGTGAAAATTGACACCTCGCATATCAATTTTCTTAAAGCTCAGCTCTCGCTTGATAGACCTGTGTAATTTTTATTTTGCAAAATTGTTAATCATTTGAGAAATAAATTTTTTACATGGAAGGGTTTATAGCAGATCTAATACCTTAATAAAGTTCATTATTATTTATTATCATGTTTCTTGTAGAATTAATCGCCTCCTAATTTTTCTATCTAATCTCCAAGCAGGCGAGAACTGGAGCCGCTGTAAGCGCGTTCTTGTTTCTATTGTTACAAACCTCTATTACCGGTAAGCGGACACTGGACTGAATTGACAAAGTAGTATTGGATTACGTCCTTGAAATACGTACTGTAGTCGATTATTAAAGATAAATTAATACATTTCTTAGTCAATAAACTGTACATTAAACCGATATCCGGACGTATGATTGTACGGTGGCCCACAAAGGCAATACACAAATATATATTATATTACTGCATTCTATATCTTAGTACACAAACATATTCATTGGCTGTGCGAGTATATTTACCAGCACAACAATATGTATCCCAGTAGACAAATGTTAATTTCAGTACAAAAATATAAACTCCTCTCCAGAAAGATATCTCCAATTCTTAGTACACAAATAACAGCTCCAGTAAAAAAAAATATCAATCTTTCAGTACAAAAACATAAACTCCAGAACAAACATATTCATCGGTTGTGCGACTACATTCTTCAGTACAATAAAATACATGTATACAACAGTACAAAATATGTATCCCAGTACAGGAATATAAATTTCAGTGCAAAAATAAAAGTTTCGGTACAGAAAAATATTTTTTTAAAAACTTGGAAAAAGTCGGTAGGACTTTAATTATATATGATTATTGCTATGTACCTAAATATATGCTTATTATAGTGTACCTAAACAAACCTTATATATTTCATTATTATACATTATCTCGACTATACAGCACTAAACACCACCGTACACCCCTATACCACACCATACACCCCTATACATCACCATACGTCCATGTAGAACACCATGCACCTCTATACCGCACGATACACCTATATACATCACCGTACACCCCTATATATCACCATACACCCACGTCAGCACCCATATATAATACCATGCACCTCTATACATCACCATATACCTCTTTATAAAATAACTTAGATAGAACGCGCGCTCTGATTGGCCGAGAGGAGTGTATGCATGAGAGTATGTAAACATGGTTGTGGCGTCAAGATGTTTTGCTTTTCGCGCGCTAATCACGCAAGCACAAATTTGAAAAAGTTTTCAAGTTCAAAACTCGACAAGCTTACTTTATTTACCCATTCCTCCGTCGATTGAAACTTGGAAAATCGTTACAAAGAAGGTGTGTCAATTTTTTTTTCGCTTAAGCTGACATTTTAAGCGAGAAAAATCCGTATTTTGGAAAGCATCTTTTTGCAAAACAGTAATAATCAGTACCGTAACAAAGAGTTTGCGTTTTTTCTCGGGAGAGTTTTTTTATAAAAGCAATAGAAAACTTTCTTCCTGTGTTTGCATAGCCTGATATAAACACTCGAGGGATTGGTAGAATTATCGACACTTATGCAAACCCTCGACTTCGTCTCGGGTTTGCATAACTGTCTCGAATCCTCCCAACCCCTCTCGTGTTTATATCAGGCTATGCAAACACCGAAAACGTTTTCTATTGCTTAATTTCATCACCATACACCCATGTATAAAACCATGAGCCTCTATACATCATCATATACCTCTATACAACACCATACACCCATGTATGAAACCGTGAACCCCTATACGTCATACCTCTATACAACATCTTACACCCCTATTCATAACCATACACTTGTATACAATGGTCATGTGTACAGGTCTATGGTTATGTAAAGGGGAGGTGATCAGGTATAGAGAAATATGGTGATGTAGAGGTATATGGTAATGTATAGAGGTATGTGGTGATGTAAGGGGTTCATGGTTTTATACATGGGTGTATGGTGATTTATAGAGGTATATGGTGATCCCGCACCAAGTCAACTGTATTTTAAAACTGTGTGTGAGGTAGTTTAAAGTTATTTAAACGATTTAAAAACAATCTTACCACAATTTGAGGTATTTTTATTATATTTCACGACTAAAACCAAAATAGCGTTAGAAGCTTGAATTGTATTTGCCATCTATTTGAATAATATTTATAACATTTTCCCAGGTTTTCCTTGTATTTGAAACATGTATTTGCTATGAAAACTACATTTTATATACAATATCTAAACTATATCTTCGGAAAGAGAGTACTGGCGAGTTGCTAAATTTTTTTTTAAATACCGTATTTAAACTGAATTTTGGAAAGAAGAACCTAAAATCAAAGATTTAAAAAGTAGTTTTTACAAGTAAAGTTCAAAATAAGGTTTTAATTATGATGTTTAAAGACTACTTTGAATATACTTCCTCTTCTACGACCTTAAACAGCTCATAAATAGCATAGTTAAAACATGTTTGAAGAAGGTTTAAGAGGCAGTTCAATTTAAATTGTGATTTGAAATGACGAACACCTTGAAATCTCTCCAAACGGGATTAAAACTGACTGTTTTTACAGTATTTTCACAAACTACCCTCATTTAAAAGGTACTTAAATGGAAATCTGTTTCCAATCCTAATTTACATGTCAACAGGTTGTTTATAGGGTGTTTTGAAAAAACCCGGCTGTCCTCAGTAATAAAAAATATACTTCAAAGGAAAAAAAGTCAACCAAATTTATTTTCAAACATATTTTAACTACTCCTTTGGGGGGTATTTTTAAAAATTGATACCCGCAGTCACGGACTTGACAAACAAAGTGCAATAGACATGCAGATACAGTCTGCCAAAAGAAATATTAAGAACACGTCGTCTAGGCACAGCCCATTCTACAAAGGCACTATTCCTATAGATAAGCCATCTAAACAGAAGTGTTTCGTCGTCAATCCAAAAGAAAATTGACGAGAATTCTCAGTTCTGGACACATCCGATTTCTAATCATGCGCGTACTTAATATTTTTTCATGTGCCTTTTGGAGGAAAACTGCGTTGCAATTCAGTTCACTTTCCGGAGAGGGTGCAAACTGCTCGACACGAAAGGAAAGTTTCAAGTTCTTACCGATAACGCAAAATTGTCGAAAACAGTCGTGTTTCTGCCGAGACTGCAAAGAGAAAAGAAGAACTTTATTTTGTATCAACTCAAAGTCAAAGCAAATCAGCAACGCCGGGGCCAACTGAAGGCCTCTAATACTACACAGTGTGCTTGCTCTTGTTCAAAAGATGCCTTTTCCCAAGCCTTTGTGATGTGTAAACCTGAGCAAGAGAGTTGGTGTCAGAACGCCCAGGGCAACTGCCTGTTGTATTCCAAACAGCAAATAACAGCTGTTGAGAAAGATATGCATTCGGAGATGCATTTTGTGTGGAAAGATTACACTCAAGTTACAGAGATGTAATCAGATTGATAAATTCTTAGACAAGCCAAAGAAATGAATATAGTCTGAATATCCTTTTTTTCATGTGTTTTGCATCGTTACGTTTTCCTTAAAAAATATGGATAATTCATTTTCAGATCTACAGAACAGGCGAGAATTTTCAAGTTGAGCATATCAGTGACTATTTAGAGTATTCACTTAGTTAGCGGTAACTCGTTATTTTCAACCCACTTCCCATGAGATGAGACACTTCGTTTGCTTGAGGTAAATGTATCACAACAAGAGTGTTTTACTGCAATTCTCGAAGACTTACTGTTACTTTTTATTGACCGTGCTTAAATTTTTCTAATGAAACCGCACCTGGACATGTTTTTGACTAATTTCATTATTAAGACTACTACATGTATGTAGTTTTAGCCAACCATAAAGGCGAAGCTTTTCGTTGTACACTTTAAAGTTACGTAAAATAATAAACGTTTAAACTTTGCAAAGAAATCCACAAATTTATGATTAACTTTTTATCAGGCCTAGAATTTTTTTACTTTTGAGGGAGGTGCCGGGCTGGGTTATACATGAAAGGAAAAATCTTTCTTGACACGCTAACGAAACTCTGGCGCGCACTCATAGCTTTTTGGCCGTTTCACTCCTTTCTTTTTACCTATTTCCCCCACGAGATTTCAAAACCTCTGCATACCAAGTCTCTATTTCTTTAGGCATTGTTCCTTTTAAGCACCTTCACAAAAATCTTTCTCACAAGTTTCAAAATAGCGTTTACACGTAAGTATTTCTACTCACGCCTCAAAATTTTCAAAGAAAACGAACAATTCTTTGTTCAACAGTATTCTGCTCGCAGCGCGCACTGGAAATAGTTAACTTCCCTTTAAATTTTTAAAAAAACTTGACGTAATCTATGCAATCACGTAGCCCAGACGGATTGCACAAGTTCACTAGTCGTCTCCATACACAGCGAACTTCGCAACTAAGGTAAGCATTCCTAACCCTTCAATCTCTGCATTTATCCTAAGTTAAAACACCTAGCATGTAGATACCTTACGAGGAAAAAACAAACCAAAATTCACTCACCCTTACTACTATAGACCACCGCAATGGACACTCCAACATGCCAAAAAGGAAAACGACGTAGGGTAGAGGTATGTAGCAGTATTTTTCAAACAAAAGACATCCTTAAATGACAAAAAGGCACGTAGGGCTCAGCCAAATGGTACCATAATGGCGTCGAAACGTGTGGAAACAGGCTCTTTCTCCGAAACCCGCCCCATTCCCCATCGGTTGCTTTATATTCTGCTAACCCTTCCCCTCCCTGACCTGTTTCCTTGATTGGCTTCTGAGCTCCTGATGAGACAAGGCTTTCAACCTTATGTTTAGATAGGATGTTTTTCGTTTTTAAAGATGAGCTCATCATATCTTATTTTTCATATACACCTGGGTAGCATAAAATAACAATAGTAGACGTATTATCATAGGTAGGTCACTCATTTTTACAGCTATCACCAGAGGAAGAAAAAGAAATCAGATCGTGCCTGGCGGCCATAGAAATGGAAGAGAGAAGAAAAAGAAATAGAGGGAAAAGAGGAAAAATTGCGGATGAGAGAAGAAGAATTAAAACTAAAAAGAAAGAAAAAGCGAATTAGAGAAAAAAAAAAAAAGATTTAAAGGAGAAAGAAGAGAAACTTAAAGAGAAAGCAAATGAGTTAAAGAAAACCACAATGGAAGCCAAACGGTTGGCTGCCCAGCTCCAATTTATGGCCGGGCAGCTTGACCGTTTGGCAAACAACGTGCTTTCAGAAATGACAAAATGAAGAATTATTTTCGCCGGACATTAAAGAAATTTTTTTAGACCGTCAGGCGTAAGTTGATTTATTGCATAATTATTTTCTTTATTTCACTACAACCATAAAAAACAAAAATTTTTTTTTTTTTTTTGTGTAATGATTAATATATTTTATGTCTAAGAGAAATTTTGCACATCTTGTAAGACCAACCTATATTTTTCAAAAAAATACAAAGCCCAAGTGCTGTATATTCTTTGCTGTAGTAAATAAGAAATCCGTGTGATCTCTTGTGAAGGAAAAGTTCTCCTCTTATTGCAAGGTATGTGCCCCATCGCTGTCGTGCTCCACTTCCTCTGTTACCCCTGTCTTTAATCAATCGCTCCTCTCTTTATCTATCACTCGAATCTTGGTCGATAAATCCCCTTTCCTATAACAGCAATCCTATATCTTGAAGCATTGGTTTTCCTCGACATCCCTCTTGCCCCCTTTTTTTGCACAGGCAACCTAATTAAAATCAGTAAATAATGTCATTACAGGTCCATAATACATAAATTAATACATAAATTATTTCCTCTTATTCTCGTAAGTTACAAATTAACAAATAATGCATCCCTCTAATTCCGTCCCTTTTTGCTGAGGCAACTGAATTAGAATTAGAATCAAAAAATGTTATTAAAAGTTCTTATTACCCAGTTCCCTTAAATCCCCTTAATTTAAAAGTTAACAAATAATGCCACCCTGTCCACCACCCCCCAGAAAATAAACTCCTTGTAACCGAACAGTCTGAGATCAGAAAATATAATAAACGCCCCAAAAAACCAAACCAAGCCGTGTAAGCAATCTAAAATTGGTTTCTATTCATGCAAAACCAATAACAAGGGTGCGTAATGTATACTGCAATGAACAACCGTACAGTCTTGCGGCAACAGAGGTTTTTGCTAAGCTGCACCTGTTATTGGCTACCTCGTGCCTACTGGACAGATACCACAAAACTACGCAAGCAGGATGACGGAGCACTGTAAACAAGCCCCCCGTAAAATGATGCACTGAACTGTACATTAAAATCACGAAAGCAGGATGTTGAAGTGTTATAAACAAGCCCCTCGCAACTTGGTGAACTGAACTGAACTGTACTTTGTCGCTTAGCTGTTGTTCTTGTTATTATTTATGTTATAAGTTTACACATGAGCTCCTGAGAGACCCCCTCAAAAAAAAAAAAAAAATAAATAAAATAAAATAAAATAAAAAAAATAAAATAAAAATTAATAAATAATTTAAGTTAAATATTATCATTATCATTAGTAAGCGCATATCCATTCAAATCCCCTTCTCCTGCCTTTATGCATCTGCGACACAAATAAAGATGTATTTATAGTTGTGACATTTTCTGAACTCGTGCAATAGTTGGTGAACTTAAGTGTAATTTATGAACTGAGTTGTCCTTACTGAACTATATTGTCTTTATTGAACTATAAAAACAAACAAACCCAAGCCTTTGTGATGTGTAAACCTGAGCAAGAGAGTTGGTGTCAGAACGCCCAGGGCAACTGCCTGTTGTATTCCAAACAGCAAATAACAGCTGTTGAGAAAGATATGCATTCGGAGATGCATTTTGTGTGGAAAGATTACACTCAAGTTACAGAGATGTAATCAGATTGATAAATTCTTAGACAAGCCAAAGAAATGAATATAGTCTGAATATCCTTTTTTTCATGTGTTTTGCATCGTTACGTTTTCCTTAAAAAATATGGATAATTCATTTTCAGATCTACAGAACAGGCGAGAATTTTCAAGTTGAGCATATCAGTGACTATTTAGAGTATTCACTTAGTTAGCGGTAACTCGTTATTTTCAACCCACTTCCCATGAGATGAGACACTTCGTTTGCTTGAGGTAAATGTATCACAACAAGAGTGTTTTACTGCAATTCTCGAAGACTTACTGTTACTTTTTATTGACCGTGCTTAAATTTTTCTAATGAAACCGCACCTGGACATGTTTTTGACTAATTTCATTATTAAGACTACTACATGTATGTAGTTTTAGCCAACCATAAAGGCGAAGCTTTTCGTTGTACACTTTAAAGTTACGTAAAATAATAAACGTTTAAACTTTGCAAAGAAATCCACAAATTTATGATTAACTTTTTATCAGGCCTAGAATTTTTTTACTTTTGAGGGAGGTGCCGGGCTGGGTTATACATGAAAGGAAAAATCTTTCTTGACACGCTAACGAAACTCTGGCGCGCACTCCTAGCTTTTTGGCCGTTTCACTCCTTTCTTTTTACCTATTTCCCCCACGTACCCACTCCCCACCGTCTCGCTTTCTAATCTGCGTTGGTTTGTTGGTCGGTTTTACAATGTGATTACATTGATTTCACGATACTCTTAGAAGACGGCTTATTTACACGTTACGGTGTAGTGTAAATATAGTAACGACACAGAACATCGAACATCACACCAGGGCGGTTGGCCGACAAGGCGGTTAAGTGATCAACTAGATCCTTGTCCACAACCCTTAATATTTACTTCTGTCTTAATTCAGTTCAATCCTCACTCCAACTTATTCACTTCTGCTACGCTCTGAAAACCTGTTCATTTTGTTGTTTCTTTTTGATGGCTATATACACACTTTTGGGCGGGCACGAAAATCAAACTGGACAGGGCTCCTGGTCACCCAAAAGGTTGGCAAAGGTGAATAAATAGAAAAGGGGAATGCATGAACCCATTAAGACGAACCCGAGCTCTTGGTCAAACACAAAGGCACGATATTCGATGTGTGTGAAAAGACAAGCTATCCGATTTAGTGTGAATACAGCCTCAAGATTGGCGTGGTGCAGCTGCGCTCCGTTACAGAAATCGCCCCAAATCTCCTTGAACTGGATGATTTGGGTGAAGGCGTATACTAAGAGCTACTCGGTATAATGTGAACATAGCCTCAGGGCCTGTTTACATGGAGATGGGGGACTCCAGGTAGGTGAGGTAACCCGCTTAGGCGAGGTAACTCGCCTGTCCATAATATAATCTCTCATTTTAGTTTGATCACGTTTACATGATAGGTGGGGTGACCCGCCACATGCTACCTCACCTACCTGGGGTCCCCCACCTTCATGCAAACAAGCCCTTTTATTAGAGTATTTTATACTATATAAAGAACTGTTTGTTTACCGTGCGGAAATTTCCTACGAATAATCAAATCCGAGTTTAAGCTCGGACAATTAACCTAAAC